GGAGGGATACTCCCTTAACTTAGAGGCAGGAGGGAAGGTCTAGTCACTAGTCCAAATGACTTGACAGATTTTGTTGATCCCTCCTGGAAGGCAACACCCTCCCTGTGGAATGTGTGTGTGTGTTGGGGGGGGATGGGAGGAGGGACATGAGAGGGAAGGAAGGAGGGGGAACTGGGATCAATATGTAAAATAAGAAAAAAAAAAAAAAAGACAGGAGCGCTGTTTCTGTGGAACTTTAAGTGTGGAAAAACCAAGTTAACTGCAACGGCAATTAAGTGAGGAGGGAAAAGGCACAATGAAAGAGTAGGCAAAGATGCTTATTGTTACCTTGGTGGGAAGGGAAGCAGAAGGGAAGTTGTCATGATGGTTTTCTGGTGGACTGAATGGGTCCCTCCAAAATTCTATGTGGAAATCCTGATTCCCACTTTGATGATAGCGGGTGTAGGAATTTAGGGAACTTATTAGGCCAGAAGGGTGGAGTCACCAAGAAAGGGATTAGTGTCCATATGAAAGAAACCCTGGAGAGCTCCCTAGCTCTCTCTCTGCCATACAAAGACACAATAATAAGATAATTATGAACCAAGAAACAGTCTTCACCAGAAGATGTTGAATCTTCTGGCACTATAACCTTGGGTTTCCCAGTCTCCATATCTATTTATGAAAACTAAATGTTTGATATTTAAACCACGCAGTTTATGCTATTCTGTTGTTGCAGCCAAAATGGACAAAGACAGTTTTGTAAGTGATGGCTGAATGATTATTATGACTGGAGGGAGGGACAAGGCATTTGAGGTACTGGGAAGTGTACATAGAAAGCAAAGTGATGGTGAGGAAGCACGAGCTAGGCATGGCGATGTATTTCTGTAATCCTGGGTGCAAGAAGATTGAAGCAGGGGATCTGCAGTTCCAGAACAGCCTGGGGTGCATAGTAAGATACAAAATTCAGACCTTGCTGGGTGATGGTGGCGCATGCCTTTAATTCCAGCACTTAGAAGGCAGAGGCAGGTGGATCTCAATGAGTGTGAGGCCAGCCTGGTCTATAACAAAACAAAACAAAACAAAAAACAAAAACACAGACCTCTAATTCCTTCTGCTCTGAAGTAATTTTCCATGTGTTGAACCCTATAGCACTTACTTTTTGACTGTTAAGATCCCTATGGCCAGTAGATGGCTGAGCAGGTGAAAGTCCTTGCCATGGGAAGTCTGACAACTTGAGTTCAATCCCTGAAACTCACAATGGAAAGAGAACTGTCTCCTGAAACTTGTCCTCCACACATGCACAATAACAAAAATAATTTTTTAAAAAAAGAGATATGTCTGGGCACTGTGGCACACACCTTTAATCCCAGCACTCAGGAAGCAGAGGAGGTGGATCTCTGTAGTTTTGTGGCCAGTTTGACCTACATAATGAGTTTTAGGCCAGTCAAAACAAAAACTAGGGCTAGAGAGAGGACTCAGAGGTTAAGAGCACTAGTTGTTCTTCAGAGGTCCTGAGTTCAATTCCTAGCAACCACATGGTGGCTCACAACCATCTATAATAAAATCTGATGCCTCTCCTGACCTGCAGGCAGAACACTGTCTACATAATTAATTAATTAAAAAAGAAACAAAAACTAAATTTAAAGAAAGATTCAATTCCCCATACTCTGAAGGCAAAACATATTATTCACATGGAGTACTTGATAAATATGAAAGAGGAGAATGAATCTATGTATGCATTTATGTAAAATGAAAGATTAGCTGGACGCACTTAAGTCCCATCTCCTTTGGAGTTGGAGGCAGAACTGCTTGAATTTTGATTCAGCCAGGACAACACTGTGAGATCCAGGAAGACAGAGAAGAGGGAAGAAGGGAAAGAGGGGGCAAAGGAGAAGGCATCGAATTTTAAAACATTTGAGGTCAGAATTATATCAGACCACTCTTCCTAATAACTCAGCTGACAGGTGACTATAGAAACAAAGCATAAACTTCGGAAAAAGTTGTCAGAATCCTCAGATGTTACTCTAAAGGTTATTTCAAGAAACAAAGAAAACCTGGTACTTGTCAGAAAAAAGCTAGCCTCACTTTTGTTTGCAAACACATTTGAGAAATAGTTTTACATAACTAACTGTTCTTTGTGTGCTAGCATCTGGGTTACTGTTGGAAGTGTCCTATCTAACCTCCTAAGCTACATGTAAACTCAAAACAACAGTTTCAACTTCTCCCTCCTTCATCCTCTTCCTCTTCCTCTTCTTCTGAGACAATGTTTTCTGCTCAAATTTAAGCCCACGTGAAATTAATCATGTAACCCAGGCTTGACCTCCTACTGGGATTATAGCAAGAACCACCAGACTTGGCTAGTTTTGTTTTTGAGACAAGGTTTTGCCAGGCTGGTTTCAAATTCTCTGTCATCCAGTACCAGCCATTAGAGTGCTGGGGTTAAGGTGTGAGCCATTCAGGTGATTTAAAATATTGTTAAAAGTCACCAGACTGTGGTGGTGCATGCTTTAATTCAGCACTCAGGAGGCAGAGGCAGGCAGATCTTTGTGAGTTCGAGACTGGTCTACAGAGAGAGTTCCAAGACAGGCTCCAAAGCTACACAGAGAAATCCTGTCTTTAAAAACAAACAAACAAAAAAAATTAACTTAAATATCTATGCTAACTCAGTTATGTTTTCATTTTAGATATACATTAAAAATCCTACCACTTGCTGAGTAATGTGGCACACTCCTTTAATCCCAGCACTTGGGAGGCAGGGGCAGGCAGATCTCTGTGAGTTCAAGACCTGCCTGGTCTACAGAATGAGTTCCAGGACAGCCAGGGCTACAAAGAGAAACCCTGTCTCACAAAAACCAAAATAAAAGCAAAAAATCTGGTCACTTGGTTGAGGGGAACTTCAGACAAGTAATTCTTTTTATTTTTGTAATTTTTTATTATTGATTGATTGGGTGCTATCATTGAACCCAAGCATGCTAAGGATGCACTCTACCCCTGAGCTCTCAGCCACAGAGAGTACATTTTGGTAGATAAGTTCTAAGATATAGTCATGTCCTTGGCAGGTCAAAATAGACACTTTCAGAACTTTTTTACTTAATTTTTTGAAATGCTGGCCTCAAACTTACCTATGTAGCTGACTAGGATCTTAAACTCCTGCCTCTACTTTCCATTTGCTGGGAGGTAGGTTTTGATGTCTTTATTGAAGAACAGAGATATCTTTTTTAGATCATGTCCCATGGGATGTTGAAGAATGGCTGAATCAATGGTCCATAACTTTTTAAATCATCTATGAATAGGTTTTTTTTTTTTTTTTTTTTTTTTTTTTTTTTTTTGGTTTTTCGAGACAGGGTTTCTCTGTATTCCTTTGGAGTCTGTCCTGGAACTAGCTCTGTAGCTCGAACTCACAGAGCTCCATCTACCTCTGCTTCCCAAGTGCTGGGATTAAAGCTGTGCTCCACCAATGCCTGGCTCTATGAATAGATTTTTAGAATTTTCTTTTCTCCTTTGATACAAGGTTTCATGCAGCCAAACTTTGGTATGTAGTTTTAGCTGGCCTTGAACTTATGATCCTCCTACCTTTACCTCCTAAGTGTTATGATTATGGAAATGCACCACTGTGCCTGGCTGTAGGAGGTTTTTAGAGGTCCTGACCCATATTCTCATCTCTTGTTTTGTTTTGAGGCAGGATCTCACTCTGTATCTTAGACTTAGCTGGAATTCACTTTGCAGCCCATGCTTGATTGGACCTGACAGCAATCCTCCTGCCTTAGCTTCCTGGGTGCTGGGATTACAGATGTGAGGTACTAGAGTAGAATAATTAGATTTACGAAGGTCAATATAATAGTTTCCATATACTCCAGGATCCTCTATTAACAGCTTATATTAATAGGATATACTTGTTATAACAGACGAATCAGTATCAAAATACCATTATTAACCAAAATTCATGCATTATTTTAGTCCTGTCAGATACTCTGTTTTCAGGGATCCCGTTTAGATGAAAACTTACGTTTAATTATATTCATTATGTAATTGTCCACATTATGCATAGTTCATGTTTTCTTATGGCATTCACCATTACTTTACTGGATAAGAATCGGGTTGAAAAACCTGCAGAAAGATGGAAATGCTTGGAATGTTAATTTAAGGGAGGTGCGTCCACTCAAGCATATCCAGAGGCCCTGCTTTACAGGGAAAGCATCTTTCAACATTCGTTCTCCAGGTTTGAGATCTTGTTGACGCTCTCTTCTACTATGTTGTGTGACCTTTTCCAAAGGGGTATCCCTATGTGGGCAGTCGTTTCTTATCTGTAATATGAGGGGTTTGACTTATATGATATCTAAACCTATTTCTATCACATAGAAGATGATCATCATTTGACGTTATGGACACCTAAGAACAAGGGCCAACTCAATGGAGGATGAAGGCAATAGACTGACTAGGGAATTAGATGGCTTAGCAATAAGGATGTAGCAGAGGTTCAAAGAAATCCTGGATTTCGTTTCATGGCTATATGGATTTTGCAAGTCATTTCCTCCTGCTGGGCTCCAGTTTCCTCATCCACAAAATGGAGAGGACCTGCTTCTGGTAGTTATGAAACTCCACGGAGCAACAGAGGAAAATGTATGTAGAAAGATGCCGAGCAAGGAATTACGTTTAGAAAGATAGAGCAAGTGGGTGAAAGGCAGAATTGAGGAAGGCGAAGCAAGATTAAGTTTTTATCACCTATGATATACCTTTGCACAACCCAACCCCACCCACGCATCGCTGCGGACATTCCACCTTGGTTCCGGCTCCGCCTCCGTCCCACCTCCATTCCCCCGCCTCCCTTCTCCAATCGGGCGCCACACTTCCGATGGCCGCCGGGCCCCCAAGCCTTCCCGCCCCGCCCCCTCGCGCGAAGGTCGGGCGCGCTCTCGCGCCGCCACCTCATTCAGCGTCTGTCTGCTTTCTGCTCCTTCTGATTGGCTCAGCTTGTCAGTGACGTAACATTCTTCCCTCTCCGCCCCACTCCCCTCACTTACCCGGAACTCGGTCCCGCCTCCTCCTGGCTTTTCCAGACGCTGGTCGGAGTCTTAAGCCGCCCTTTCCTCCGCCGCACGGGAGGAGCCGGGAGAGCTGGGGAAACCAGGAAGGCGCTGGCGGTGACGCGCACGCACACACGCACGCACTCACGCACACCCGCGGCCGGTGGGGCGGCAGGCTCGCGCCCGGACTCGCCCCGCACCGCGCCAGAGGCTCGCGCACTCAGCGGGTTGGGTTGCGGTGGTGGCGGCTGCTGTGGGAGCCCGAGCGCCGCGCGTGCTAGGTCCCAGACGCGTTTGCGGCGCTCGCCCCGCCACCCTCCTCCTCTCTTGCCTCAGTCTCGGCGCCGCGTTCTGAGGGAAAGAACGGCGCTAGGCTAGCGAAGCCCGAGCGCACCCCTGGCTGCCTCCGACACCGCCCTGCGTCCCTTGGCGGCCGCGGGCCTCTCTCGGTGCTAGGCGACTCTGCGGGGAGGCGGCGACGGCCGCCGTTCGGTGGAGACTCGCGCTCCCTTCAGCCTCGCCCCTTCGCCTGGCCCTGCAGGGGCCGAGAGGACTCGGCGGCTGCCCTTCCGCTCGGCCCTCTTAGTCAGCCGGTTAGAGCTGCAGCGGTCTGCGAGAGGTCTGTGGACTGAGGCGGCGGCTCCTCCGGCTCCATCATGTCCGCGGGCGGAGACTTCGGGAATCCGCTGAGGAAATTCAAGCTGGTGTTCCTGGGGGAGCAGAGCGGTGAGTGCGCGGCTCCCCCGCTCCTGGCAGCGGGCCGCGGCTTCCCCGCACCGCCCCCAGTGCGGCCCTTCTGGTCACCGAGGCTCCCCGCCGGCCTCGCACCCCCACTCCAGCTCTTCTCCGGGGTCCTCTGGCGGCTGCTTCCCCCCCCCCCCACCCCGCCTCCTGCTCGCTAGCATCTATCGGGCGTTTAGCTTAGACCCCTGGTCGCCGTCCGGACTCGGCCGCCCGCAGCCAGGCCCTCTCGAGCCATTCCGTCCTCCCCAGCCCTCACCCCGCCCAGCCTCCTGTCCATCCTTTTCTTCCTCGGCTCTCCGTGATCTCCTTCACCCCTGCGGGCTTTCTGGGGCCCCACCCTTATTCCTTGCCCCTTTTCCGGTTCCCACTCCGGGAAGCCCCCCACTCCCGGGAACAGGTCCGTCTTGAACCTTGGCTGGAGGAGGGTGGGATTTGGGCGTTGTTTTCTCTTGAGGCTTGGCTCCTAGTTGTGCTGGTCTCCCGGAAGGTGGGAAGTGGTGGTCATAAAAAAAAAAAAAAAAAAAAAAAAAAAAAAAAATTCTCGCCCAGTTTTCACCTAAATGAAGAATTAGTTAGGGTTAGAGAGTTAATATATTCAACTCGAGGCGACTTGAAAAGAGGTGGCATCGGCAGTGACGATTTTTGTTCCTTGTGTTGGGACTGGTTGGAAAACCTTATTTTCTTTTGATTTTTCATCATTGACAATTCTTTTGGCAGTGTTGATGCCTTTTCGATCTCTGCCAGATGCTATGTCATGATCAGTTTACTTCGAATTTTTCTCACCTCACTTTCATTTTTTCTCATTTCAACATGAAACATCATTTGAGTATATATGATGATGCAAGCAGGGGTTAACGGGTGAAATATTAATCGTTCATTTTCTTGAGTATTTTCCAGTTACATATTTAAGATGTATGTGAGAGAAGGATTAAAATAATGAACATCTTTGTTTTGTAGGATTGCCTTTGGGCAATAGGGTAGTAATAGAGCTAGTTCTCTAAATTAGATTTGAATACCATTTGAACTGATTATCTTATGCCTAATATTTCATAGGGTCTTGTGAATGAAATTGTAATGTCATTTACCTGGTCAAGGTTCTGAAGTCACTGTACTTCCTGTTAGATACAAGGTCCTAGTTTTGTGATGGTTGTCATTAAGATTACATGTGCCAACAGCTTTGTCCTGTATTATATAAACTGAACAATAATTCAGATTATATTCTTTTTCCCTCCATATTTTAGGTTTTATCATTAGCTTGAACTATTTATAACAATTTGGAACTTTATATCAAGTTAATAACTGGTTTCATTTTGCCTTTAGCTGGATATGGAAAATAATTTTTCTTCTTGGGTGTTTAGATTTGTCTTCCTTACAACCTTGTAGGATGGAAAGATCATGTCTCCCTCCTGTTTGCTTACAGATATTTAAGTATAGACATTTCCAGGCCTGCAAGGTGGTTCAGTGAGTAAAACAGGTTCTCACCACACTTGACAACCTAAATTCAAAGAAGGGGAGAACCATCCCCAGTTGTCTTCTGATCTCCAGGAACAACCACCTACAACAAAAAACAAAACAAAACAAAAAAAATAATAAAAAAAAAATTTTAAATAAAATACACATTTCCTTAGATGAGTAACTTGGTGAAATCTATGAAGTTGATCCTGATCCAGTTAGTGTTACATGGTAGTTTGAGGACAATCTCATACATAAAATAAATTGGTCATTATTAATAAATAGGTTTGAATGTCCTTATTATGCAGTCTAGGGAGATGGTTGACTGCCTAATATTGTGTATAGGACTAGTTTGCACAAAATTCATTAATCTTTCTATGAAGTTTTTAGTATGAGATCTTAAGTTGACTGTTTATATTGTAAATATTAGTTTTATGACTTCTAATTTCTTTTTCATCGCGTTTTTTTCTTTTGAAGGTAGAGTTACATTCTGGTAGCCCAGGCTGGCCTTAAATTTGGAGTCCTCTGGCCTCAACTTCTGAGTGCTAGGATTTCAGGTGTGATCCACTGCACCCATTTTTATTTTTTCCTGTTTTGAAATTAATTTCTTTTTTAGGCAGTCTTGTGTAATGAGGCTTGCCATGAACTTTCTATAGGCAAGACTTGCCTTGAATATCTGGTGATCCTGTCTCTACCCATGTGCTGAGATTATAGGTATTTGTCACTATGTTTGTTTTTATGTGGTGCTAGATGAGCACTATACATACTAAGCTGTATCTTCAGCTGTTAGTAAATTAATTTTTTTTAAGTTGGCAAACGAAGTGATGTGTTTCAATACAGCTTTTTCATATTCATGTATGTGTGTATATGAACAGTCTCACTGTGCAACCCAAGCTGGCCTTGAAGGTATGAGATCTGCTTGCATCAGCCTCTCGGTTTCTGTCATTTCTTTCTTTACATAACTTATCAACTATTCTATGAATTCCCAGCCTTCCCAAGTGGTTACTAAGTAATGCCTTGCTTTTTGTTAGATTTAGCTTGTATGTATGTATGCATGTATGTGTGTGTTTCTATATGTTAGATTTACAGAAAATTGATGATAATACAGAGGATACCTATGTATCCAGCACCTTACTAATTAGTAATGTAAATTTGCTAAAATTCTTGGCTCAATATTGATTTGTTATTAACTAAAATTCATTGTTTATATTTCTTTATTTTTAAAACAATACTCTTTCTGCTTCAGCTTTCCTTTCAAGATACCACATTACATTAAGTTGTTATATCTCCTTAGGTTTCACTTGCTCGCTTTAGGATTATGTTTCTATGCTTTTTGCTCTTTAGAACTGTGAGTTAATTATCTTTTGAGGTCATCATATTGCTAAGTAATGCCATCCCATAGTTTTGACACTGAAAGATTGATCTCTGTCTTCACAGTCAGTGTCTGTAGATTTCTTATGCATTAGTGAAGATCTGTAGAATCTGTTACATTGATGTAACTTGCTATGAATTATTTATTTTTAGGTTTGTTAGAATTCACAATTCAGCTTTTAAAGACTGCACTCCTTGGCATAGCCTTCTTTGTTTCCTTAATAGCATTTATCAGTCACATTTATAATATTTTATGTGCTTGTTTTGTCTATTTTTTAAGGTAGAACAGAGTGCAAGTTCCATAAGATAAAAATTATCTTTTAATGTTCATTGAGCCACTGTTGCCTAGCATAGAACCAGTCTCATGGTAGCTGCTCAGAAATATTTGGTGATAGAATAATAGTTAAATGTAATAGCAGCCAGAGGTGATTGCCTACATTTTTTTGGTATAATAAAACATACATTTTCTCCTCGTGCAATTAATAGTTTAGTAATAACATTGTATACTTAGATGATTTGATCATGTGAAAGGATATTCCAGATGCTGGAGTCTGGATAGGGGAACTTAGTAATTTGAGGCTTAACCTCACTAAAAAAAAAAAAAAGCACTTAACTGCATATTACACTTTTTTTTCTTTTTTAGTTAAAGATTTTTTGTTAAAGCTGTTAATTTATTTGCTGTTAGTATAATACATAGAATATGTCAAATGTGTAGATGATATAGTCATGTGATTTTTTTATTTAGCTTTTCAAGTGAAAGATACTCTTGCTCTATAATAAAAATGAATTGTTTCAATACTTGACAGATTAGTTAATGGCATGAATCTTGAAAGTTTTCTCTTTATTTTAGTAGTACATGATAAAGGAATGTTAAACTACATAAGTCCTAAAGTCTCCTTCAGGAGAATCTTTTGTTATTATCAGGCTATTGTCTAGAATTCCAGAGGGGCTTTTAGGAATGTCATTAAGTGGTTTGCGATGAATTTTCTGCAAATGTAATTTTTATTGATTATGAGAGACTGTAATGGCAAGGAGACATGTATATCTAGTACTGCTTTTTTCACTTCATATTACCTTTTTTCTGTCAACTTTTTGAACTACAGTATATTAGAAAGGGAAAAAGTGTCAGAGGCTAATGATGCCGAATACTATAATATTATAGTATAGGCTATTTATTGTATTGGGTATTATGTATTCTCTGAAAATTCCTTATTGCTAGAGAATTACTTAAGTGCTTGCTAAGCGCTCTATTTTCCATACTCTTAGAAAAATTTTTACATTTAATTAACCTTCATAAGTCCTGTTTTCTTATTTTATAGATAAGGAAGCTGAAATATAAAAAGATATTGAGTAATTTGGCGAAGGTCAGTGGCCATTACTACCATAGGCAACTTGTACTTTGTGCTCTTGATCCCTACTATCAAGTTTTAAGGTTTAAAACTAAGATACGGAAAATCTTCCTTGGGACTCTTCATTTGCCAAATGAAGCTGTAAGAAGGACAAAATGGCCTGGTACTATCTAATCCAATAGCTCTCAAACTGATCTACTGACCCCCAGGGACCTCACAAGAACCTACAAGGGGGACCCATAAGTCTCATAGGGGTCAAGAAGAGGATATTATATGCTTTTTCCATTCTTATTACCTTATAAGTATATAGTGTAGTTTCTAAAAGCAGTCCTGCTATGTGACCCCTGTCAGCTCTAAGAATATAATTGTTTACTGAGTTAAACATTTAAAGAATTTCGCAAATAATGTCACTCAAATTATAAAGTAGCTCTTTTCATAAAAATTATATTAACATGCAGTGAAATTTATTATTATTTTAGCTATATTAAGTATTTTTAATTTTTCATACTTAGATTTCAGTATAGTAAATATTACATTCTTTATTGTCCTCAACAATTTTTAAGGACTACCAATTCAACCACAAATGATGGTACTTGCTTGTGATCTCTGTACTTAGGAGGTAGAAGCAAGAGGATCAGGAATTCCAGGTTCTCCTCAACCACACAGGTCTCATCCACTGAGCCATCTTACTGACCCTACCTTATTTATGTCAAGGTTTCCCACTGAGTCTGAAGTTTACTGA